AGATCTTTTAAGGTTAATCATCAAAATAATGAAGAATTATGGAGCACCATCAAGACAAAAGAAAGGTTTCAACTGTGTGGGATAATTTAGATCTTGCATCGGAATCTCTTTTTCAAAATTTCCTTGTTGTGTCATCTTGTTCCTTGCAGTTTTCCCTTAATTTATCGGAATTTAAACTAATTTCCACTTGACTCTTAGTTTCCTTTTCATATTATTTTCTGTAATCAGGCAAACAAATGAGCCCCAGTTGGGACCGTCTTCACAACAGCTGTCCTTTTCAGGTATGTTATGTTCTTTAATTTTTTTCTGCGCTCCAGCCTCATCTGTGCCATGTGAGCAACACAGCTGGAAAAGTTGCGTCAAAAAAGCACAAATTAATATATTTCTAAATGTTTAAAAAACATTTTTTATAATAAAAAAAACTAAAACCTAGTCCACAATCATCCTTATCCACAACACGTTCACTTAAATGTTCATGTTATGATACAACTTCACATTTTTTATTGTCTGTATCTGAAAATATCAAAGATATTTTAAATGTAAATGAAGACTTAAAAGAATACAAAGTATAATACAATGACTTAATTATATTAATGTACTTGGTCTTCTTATTAGTGTCAGTTGTCTGTTAACAAGGCTGCTTGTAGGGAGAATAAAAGTCCAGCAGGTGTCAGTATTGAGTCACACAGTTTCGACTCAGTTTCAATAGTTTGGCAATGAGTCAAAATGCTGAATGATGCCTCGTCTACCAGTCACTAATTCTAGTCGAAAGTCACAGCGATTTGGATCTGCTAAGTATGCTCCAATAGCGCTTTATCATATGAAGCCAAAAACAGTATTTATACTATACATTTTTAGTGATTAATTAAAGCAAATCTTTATTTCATTTACAATTGTAATTACTGAGTTATGTGATCAATCAAGACTTTATTTTTAGCATAAATTAAATGACATACCAATTAAACAGGTTAAGATCACATTTAACCAATTATCTTATTTTAAGCCCAGCCAAGGCTGTTAGCTGAAAATATCACAATACTATACAATTTTCAGCAGGCCATCACAGGCTCATTTGTGTGTCTAGGATGCTATTGTGATGTCTGCAAATCACAACACTTGAGGCTGTGAGGCCTCCTTGTCATTAAAGATCCCCCAACCCTTGAAATACGACTCAAATGTAATGAAAAAAGAATTTAAACGTGTTGAGCTGACACAGTCAATCCAAATCTGAACAGACTGAGAACTAATAAAAAAAGGGGCAATAAACCATTAGGGAGTCTTGAGATTGTTTTCAGAAGATGAGCCTTATAAAGCCCCACAGGTGGGACATTTCTATTATCACACCCAAAAACAAAAACGGAAAAGTACAAAATAAAACAGAGAAAAAAAACCCTACCTAAAAATATGAATAGAAAAATAATAAACCCCTGAGTAGTACAGGAGGCTGAAAGGGACACAATGAATGTGAATTCCCCATGAAATAAACAAATGTTAAAATATTAAACACATGATTTATCTACTAATCTATTAAACATACCATTAAATTCAGCATCAAATTAAGAAATGCACAATAAATAATTAAAAGAAATTTTTGTAAATAGATTTGTCTAAGAAATGCAATCATATAGAATAGAATTCAACTTTATTGTCATTCCACTGTCACAAGTACAGAGCAACGAAATTAACTCTGCATTTAACCCATCCCCTTGGGGAGCAGTGGGCTGCCATTATGCAACGCCCGGGGAGCAGTCGGGGTTAAGGGTCTTGCTCAGGGACCCAGAGTGGCATTCTGCGGGAGTGGGGGATCGAAGTCACAACCTTGGGATTCAAAGACCTATGTCCTAACCACTAGGCCAGTGTTTTTCAATCCTGGTCCTCAAGGCACACTGCCCTGCATGTTTTAGATGTTTCCCAGCTTTCACACACCTGTTATCAATTGATAGCAGATTATCAGGCTTTGCTGAACTGCAATCATCTGAATCAGGTGTGCTGAAGCTCAGAAACATCCAAAACATGCAGAGCATGGTGCCATGAGGACCAGGGTTGAAAAACACTGCACTAGGCCACCGCTCCCTACAGCAGGGTTCATCAGTTCCAGTGCTTGACGTTCATGGCTTGCATCTTTTTGATGCACATCGGTTTGTTAATTCGCACGACTCTGAAAAACGTGACTCCATAGTGGCGCTGGACAATATGGCTTTAACATCTTATGATATTTTGTGGCATTATCGTTAAAATTTTAAAACGTTATCGTTAATAAAATGGAGAATATAAACACTCTCCACTGATTCTCTTAAGTCGTTCTTACATAACTGTTTAGCTGTGAGTGACTTACACGGTAATCATAGCCCCAAAAACACACAAACTTAAAGGAATAGTACACACAAAACATGATTAGCCTTCATTTTCTACTCCCCCATTCTGAACAACACTCTGGAGTACTTTTTTGATATCTCAAATGCATCTGGAGATCTGGGAGGCTTCTTGCTGTCTGCTGACATTACATGAAATGCATTTCCAAACGTTCAGTTAAATTAATTCTGACCATAAAATTCAGTTCAAGCTCCTGAGAAACATGTAATCGAATCTAATCTTTTTTGACTTTTTATTTTTGTATCTGTATGCATCAGGGTTGAACTAAGACACAAACACGAGGATGATAAGCAGCATCAAACTCTTCCTCACCTTCATCGTATCAGAAGCTGTTGCTTTGCAGGTGGTATCCAGAAAGTACTTCAGATTAGCACTCATCTGGCTCTTTGGCTGGTTTTTCCTAAAATCCTCTGCAATATACACAAAAAGGAGGAAAAATCTAAATGAATCACAAATGCTGATTTGCTTTTTTTTTTTTAAAGTTGACAACTTTTCCATTTAATAAATTGATGCATCATATACAATGGGAGAAGAAAAAGACGCATTGCTTCATTCGTATCTTTTAAATAATTACATCAACTGGAAAGCTGTGTTTATCACAACTTATCCAATTTCTGGACACAAATAGCTTTTATAAACAAAGATATAGAATTTTGTCCTGACCCACTGCCGATCTTATCCACTTGTCTTTGACTGTGGCCTTGCTTTTTCCAGGGCCAAGGCGGCCCTGCAACCTCTTGATTTGTCTGGTGATCCCCTGCCGCTTGGTGCTGACCAGGTCCATTGCTGCAGCTGAACTAGGGGTTTTCTGCTTCTTCTTATTCTTTACGCCACTGCCATCTGGGAGAAGACATGGGAACTTTAATGTAGGATGGAAGCTTTTCAAAACGTGCCTTCAATTCTTCTTTTGAGTTTTTGTGGGTTATTTATTGGTCGCATAGGTAATCACAAGCTTTATATCACAGAGAAACTTCAGAACAGTAGCAGTCCGATGAAATTTACTCAGGGGGTAGAGGTGGGTCGCAGTTCACAAAATAAAAACCCTGCCTATTTTACCTTCATCATGCTCACATGATGAAGGTAAAATAAGCAGATAAGGTGATTAGCACTCAGTCTGTGTTGTAGAGGCAGATATGCAAATGGCTGGAAGTAATCTCTGTACAGGGTTTTTACTTTCTGTACCTGGATTGCCCACCTCTGCCTAGGGAGGCCAGGCTGGGACCAATGTGTTTTTAGTGGAGGCACAGAAAAGCATGAAACGAAAACGTATTAAAAGAGCCAGAGAACCAAAGCTCTACTTGTGGATCTGCAATGAAGGAAGTTAAAAAATCCATGTAATTTAGTCCAATTAAAATGGTATGTAATTCCAATAGAATTTTTCTTTTTTGATTAAAAACGTTAATTTTATATACCTAAAGTTAAAATTAAAATCCCTTACCAAGGCAACTGAAATAATTAGATGCTAAATAGATATATGTACTGAAAGATAAAATAAAGCCCTTCTTTTTATTGGTATGTTAAAACAAATTCTTAATTTGGGAATATTACATATTTTTGACATGTTCTAAATACTATTACCAGCTTTTTATCAAATCTGAATTATAACTTAAGTAAAACATCAATTCACCTGTAACAAGTTATTTTTTTTATTTGAAACAAAACATTTAGAAGATGAAAACTGTGATCCAATCTCAATAAGAATGAGGCTATCACCTTAATTCGAAGGTATAATTAAAACAGATTTGTAAAGAAAAATTAAATAGGTCTACGAGAACTCTGTTCCAGCGCATATCATTATTAATTCTTTTTTCCCCCCAATAGCACAATGTTTTCAGTACAGGGGCCACAACATGGGCCAGGATCAGTTCTACTGTTGGCCCCTGTCTATAATCACCCATGCCTCAGATCCCCCACCCCTCTAGACGAAGTTTAAGAATTTTGGACTGATTGATGGAACGTTTTTTTATTTTTATTTCATTGAAATGACTCAAATAACCTTAGTACTTAATTCTACTGAAGGCGCGTGCGCTAAATATGAGCTTAAGTTAGCTTAACTGATCTCCACTGAGCTAACAGGCAAAACTGACCTTTAATATCATCGTTTAGCAGCTCCAGACCTCTCCTGATCAACGACACCGACATATTTTCTTAAAAATACACGATTGGCTATACTGTTTACAATTCAATTCACATCTAAATAAACTCGCATTATCACTAAGAAACAACATGCATGTCGGCCAGGTTCCTTCAGTGCGCTGCTGAAAACAGTCCTGCGGTAAACAGCTGACATATATTTAGTTCCTACCCAACAAATAACAACGCTCCCACCTACCTACTAATAATATTAAGGAAGACATAATAGCATAATATCACTAATGATGCAGAAGCTGTTCCTCACGATTATTCGAAAATGTAAATGAAAAGAGGTGAATAATATGCATAAATCACAGGAATGTCAGAATTATAATTAGGTCTACTAATCTAGGTGTATAATTAGGTCAAATTGAAATACTTTCAATGCAGATGTTCTATGCAATGATTAATCTGATTAATATTTTTGTCACCATTTGTTTGGATGAACTTTTTTTAGCTATTAGAATTAATGTAGAACAATGAGCCCTTCGCTCTAAGCTGAACTGACGTCTTTGTTTACACTCTGTTACCTTCGATCCCTCTGCTGTGTTCAACCTTTGTGAGGGAAGCCAGCTTTTAATCCACTTTTCTTTTCAGCACCGATCATGGCGGTGCAAGCTGGAGCTCTGATCAGCACTAAATGGCTCGCGGACGCATTGAAGACTCGGGGGAAAATGCGCATCTTGGACAGTTCTTGGTATTTGCCAAAACTGCAGAGAAACGCCAAAAGCGAGTTCCAGATAAGGCACATTCCCGGGGCAGCTTTCTTTGACATAGACCAATGCTGCGATAAAACTTCTCCTCTGGACCACATGCTGCCGTCTGAGAAAGTTTTCGCAGATTATGTTGGGAATTTAGGAATAGAAAACGACACGCATGTGGTTGTATACGACTGCAGCGATTATGGTGCGTTCTCAGCACCGCGCGTCTGGTGGATGTTCCGGGTGTTTGGCCACAACGCAGTGTCTCTGCTAAATGGGGGGTTCAGGAACTGGGAACTAGAGGGTCGACCTGTGAGTAACAGCTATGTCAGACCCCCTCCCGCCGAGTTTAAGGCCCATTTGAAGAGCTCTGGGATTAAAACCTACGAGGATCTGCTGGATAACCTGGACACTAAGGAGTTCCAGGTGGTGGATGCCAGGCCCGCAGGAAGATTCAGGGGACTGGAGCCTGAACCCAGAGATAGTGAGTAAGATTTTTATCCAAAGTTACTTTTAACTCAGGGAGAGCAGGGCAACAATTTTAAGACAAGGTGACCGTGTCCTCCATTGTCACCTTGGCTTGTTAAATACCAGCTGCGGTGTCAAGTAACAAAGTAAAATACTTCGTTACTTTCATTAAGTACACTTTTTAGGTATATAATCTTTACTCCATTACTTATTTTTCTTCCTACTTCAGACTTCTACTCATTACATTTTCACACAAATATCTGTACTTTCTATTTCTTACATTTTCAATTCAATTCAGTTTATTTATATAGCACCAAATCACAACACATGTCATCTCAAGGCAGTTTACAATTCACCAGATCATATAGTCAAATTGATTAAGAGTTTTCTATCTAAGGAAAGCCAGTTGATTGCATCGACTCATTGACTCAGATGCAATCCCTCACACTAAGCATGCTTGTAGCGACAGTGGAGAGGAAAAACTCCCTTTTAATAGGAAGAAACATCCTGCAGAACCAGGCTCAGTGTGAGCAGCCATCTCATATTTAACCCGATATTTGATCAGCTTCTGAGTTTCTAAAGTCTAAAAAAAACCCCAAAATACTTCTTCTTCTTCTTCCTCAAAAACTTATTTTTTACAGACTTAAAAACTTATAAAGACGAGGGAAAAAATATTGATACATTAAAATATCACAATATCTTCATATAACATATATTGCCATTTAAAAACACCATATCAATCTCTTTTACTAATGAAATATTGCTATATGTCATTGTTATGCTACGAAATCCTCCGAAAATTCACAAAATTTTGCCATATTTTTATATGTTGATGTATTGACGCGGTATCGATCTATTTTACTAACAAAATCTCACAAGAATTTACAAAATATCACGAGAGTTTGTAACAGAACGATGAAATTTCACGAGATTTTGAAAGTAAAGTATATCGATTCCGCGTTTTTAAAATCAGCATATGATAATATATTTGAGTATATTATTTTTCAAAGGGTCAGAAATGGATAACAAAACTGCTATTTTTAATGACTACTTATTTTTGTCCAGTTTTAACATCAGTATCGATATCGGTTATCGGCTACATGAGTTTTAAAATATCGACATATCGGAAATCGGCCAAAATCCCAATATCGTGCATCCCTAAAATAATTATTTATAAACATTAAACCGAAGCCAAGAGGAACGAGTAACATTTGTTTTAAAAATGTAAGGAATAGAAAAAGCAGATACTTGTGTGGAAATGTAATGAGTAGAAGTCAGAAGTAGGAAGAAAAATAAGTAATGGAGTAAAGTATAGATACCTAAAAAGTGTACTTAAGTACAATAAATAAGTATTTGTACTTTGTTACTTGACACCTCTGGTAGTGTGCATTTCAAAACCACTCTTTATCTAGTTTTTCAGCTCTACATTCTACTTTTGATATCCTGGTGCACTAAAATACCAAGTGTAAAACAAGTGTCTCATTAGAATAGTTATAATTTCTGTTCATGTCACAATTCCAGTTAGACATTGGTTTTATATTTTCTAGTCATCTTACCCTAACTGGAAAAGTTTGGATAAAGGGTCTCGTGGGCGAAAAAGGTCTAAAACACCAAACAGTTAGGGGAGTGGCGGCCTAGTGGTCAGAGCATTCGCTTGGAATCCAGAGGTTCTGAGTTCAAGATCCACTCCCACGGACTGCCACTCTGGGTCCCTGAGCAAAGACCCTTAACCCCACGCTGCTCCTCAGGAGCCGCACAATGGCAGCCCACTGCTCCCCAAGGGGATGGGTTAAATGCAGAGAGTGAACTTTGTTGCTCTGTACTTGTGACGGTTTAATGACAATTGAAGCTTGAAGTTTCTGTTTTAAGACAAAGATGCGACAATGTGAATAAAAAAATAAGAAGTCATAGGCCTACTCCTGGAACTTATTCACTTTTTGTTGCAACACAACCTTCAAAGCATTTTATTTGGTATTTGCTCTGTTAGACTGACAGCAGGGTTGTAATATGGAATTGTTTTTATTTTACAAATGAGTCTGAAAAGTGTAGTGTGCTATTCAACCATCTGTACTCTATTGCAGGTAACCGCTGTAGACAAGTTTATATCTGGATTCAGTTTTAAAACAACCTATCAAGCTTTGAACCCCCTCAGACCAAGGAAGGCATTAATTAGTCAAACTGGCTAAACTCCATTGCAACTGAATTGAAGGGACCCACAGCTCGGAAGACAAAATCTGTTGTCAGAACAACTTTTAGATTATGCTCTCTACAAATATGGTCTCTTTGGAGGTAGGTAGGATGAGCAGAAAGCTTCTGATGAAAGTGTCCAAAGCACATCCTGTTATTACAAGCCATTAGGGAAACAGAACCAAAAATATGGAAGAAGGTACTATAGTCAGGTGAGGTTAAGGTTTGCTCTAAATGTTTATTACAGCATAAATTTTTTTTTATCAGGTGTTAAAAAAAATACAGAAAATATAAAAGCAGTGGTCTGGAAATTGTTATTATTTGGTATTTAGTGCATTTGAAGTGTTGGATTTTTTTCAGGGGAACAGCAAAAGGAGTAAGGAAAGTTTTTTACATTTTGTTAATAATATTGACCCATTTAAAGTTTTTTTTTTTTTTTACTGTCTTTAATAAACAACAATCTACAGGTTTTTTTTTGTTTGTTATTTTAGGTTCTTATATTGTACTTCATGGAAATGTATCTGTAAATCCAAAAGATTTGGTGTGTCGGCCTAGTGGTTAGGGCATAAAGCTTGGAATCTAGAGGTTCTGGGTTGTAGCCCCACTTCCACAGACTGCCACTCTGGCTCCCTTAGCAAGACCCTTAACCCCACACTGCTCTCCAGGAGCTGCACAATGGCAGGCTACTGCAGAGGTAAATTTCTCCAATGTGAGATTAATAAGGTTCAATTATTTATTTAAACTATATCTGGTGAGAAGAATTTGTTTCAACAAGAATTGCATTTTATGGGACATGACTTCACTTTATTTTTATTCTGTTGACTTATTTCATGAAAAGAATATTATTTGCAGGAGAAATAAACCCATATGGAAAGTATAGCCCAAATAAACAGTGCTGTAACAACCCTAGACATGCCATTCTGTCACAGTTGGGACCAGCAATGGGCTAGCCAATAATGGGAACAGTAAAACACAGCTTTATGGATTACACACAAGATGAATCAGTGAGTTAGCTGGCTGCAACCTTGTTTCTTAATGTCTGAAATTACATCAGATTCAAATCTTCCAGTTTAAGGTACGTAAGAATTAGTTAAAATGCCAAAATAACAAGAAAAAAAATGTGAGAGCAGGTAGATAAGCTCAAACAAGCAAATCTATTGATTTATTCCTACAGTCAGTGACCTTCGCTCTTACATACTACCATTAACCTAAGATAAACACATTTACATACAATCACAAACCCTTGCTGGACAAATCTTTAAAATAAGATGGTAACAGTCTTCCCAACAAGTTTTATCACTGAATTTATTGATGCTTATTACATGATTGAAGTCTGCTAAAACTGCCCATATCGTTTTTTTCCACAATCATGCTTCATTCATTGTTCATTTTATTGTAGAAATCTGTGGAATTAACTTTGAAAAATGCTCCTTTTTGATCTTCTCAGAATATATGCATATATAGTGAGGCATATTCATTATTCTTTTTATCTGTATGATTGAAAGCATATATTCATTTAAGCAAAACAGCATTGAAAAGCTTCAAATGCATTAAAATTTCGCTGCCAAGATGACTGATGCATAAGTACACAGCCCTACAAATGATGATGGTAGGGCGCTCAAAATTGCACTGAATAACACTATAATATAATATAATGATATGATGCAACTTTATTGATCTCACATTGGAAAAATATACCTCAGCATTTAACCCATCCCCTTAGGGAGCAGTGGGCTGCCATCATGCGGCGCCTGGGGAGCCGTGTGGGGTTAAGGGTTTTGCTCAGAGAGCCAGAGTGGCAGTCTGTGGAAGTGGGGCTCAAAGTCAGAACCTCAGGATTCCAAGCTCTATTCACTAACCACTAGACCGCCACCTCCCGACGTCATCATATGTCTACGCAATTATAAGTAAAAAGTAGATATCCAAGAAATTACTCAAGTAAGAGTTTAAAAGTATTGAGTAAACAGGCTACTCAAGTACTTAGTAACTGAATCTATGTAGATTATAACAGATTAGATTTATGTGCAAATGCTGGTTTTATTTTAGTATTTTTTTATTTTGCTGGTTTTTCAAATGATAAGATAAAAAAATCAATATAACATAGATAATTACGCAATAAGACAGAAAGGAAAAAAAACATTGATCAAAATATATTTTTTGTATATTTTATTACCAGGAAACGTATTAAATCAATCCTTATCGAGTAACAAGATGAAGTTTATGTTCACTTGAACTTTAAATGACACGGAATAGTCAGTAGATAACATTTGAGTGCAGAAAAGAAGGCTCACTTAAACATAAACTGTAGGTGTGTTTCTCTCTGGTGCATTTTTGTTTAAACAAACGTTGTTAGTTATATATATGTATAGTTATTGCACCGTTTATTAAAACCTATTTATATGTAATACCCTGTGCAATAACTATATATAAATACCTATTTAATACCCTGTGTTATAACCCTGTGTATACTGTATATACTTTATATACCCTATGCACCTTTCCTCCTTATGGTACCTTCTTTTGATTATTGAGCCGATGTAACAAGTTAATTTCTCCACTGTGAGATCAATAAAGTCTATCTTAACTTATCTTGTTCTTTTTAAAGTGAAGTAGCTCACAATGTTACTCTAGTAAAAGCAATAAGTATAATGCAGTAAACTCCTGCTGAAAATATTTTCACCCTAAATGTTATGTAAATAAATATAACTGAATAAATGTCAACGGGGGGCCTAGAAGAAGGATATGCTTTAGGTTTTCAAAACCTGCCACAGCTTAGACTAATAATTTCTTCTTATCTTAGGAAAAAAAATAGAGCTACCATTACATTTTTAAACTAGAAAATTGGAGTGCAGATCTCTGCCCAGCTTACACCTACAGCTAAAACTTGCACACGGTCTGGATCAATAGCACATCTTCTGCTTTTACCTTCTTTGTTCACTCTGCTTTCTTGTTTATCAGCATATCGAAACTTGGAGTGAGGCATGGATCACCTTTCTTGTGTTTTTGCCTGTAGGATAATACTTCTACACTTCCTTGAGTCTGATGCTGCCAATAGTCACTGCTGCCACTCTCTAGTTTACTGGGTAACTGTTTGTTCCTCCAAATAATGTTAAATTAAAAATTATTCTGTATCCGGATTATAATGCAGATCATAACCAAAATGTACGGGATTGTTTCTTAGACTGAGGTGCACCTTTGGTAAAAATTTCATTAAAATCTGTTTATAACATTTCAAATTATCTTTTGCAGAGAAAAAGACAAACGCTCCCAAAAACATAACCTCCTCAGCGGAGGCAAAAACAGTGGCCTGCTTTTAGGGTGAATTTGTTAAGACATAAAATCTAGACCTATTTTCATTTGGTGGAGTGACTTAACATTTCCTTTAGAAAGTACTTTTTAAATCCCAGAACACATCTACAGTCTTTCTTTCTGAAGGCTTCAGCCAGCTCTTTGGATTTCACCATGGTTTGGTCTTTCCCCTTAAAAGTCAGGAGCACAACATATAGAATGTCATTTGTTTAGATGGGGCAAACCTTCAAAATGCTGAGAGGAGGGTTTAATGAGCAATGGACCTAATGGAGCTGTCTGATTACAGCCAGTTTGGGAATAAAGATTGGCCATGTTCTAATTTAATCCTCACTAGAAAATGGCTTTTAATTATATTTCACACAAATGGAACTAGGAAAATGTGGCAACAAGTCTTTTTTTTCTGCAATCACAAACATATCTTGATGACACTAATCCTGTAAGGTTCTCAGTTGGACCCTTCTCCTAACAAGTAGGACAGAAGACATATTTAAGAACATCTTCTAAATTTATTAGAAAATAATAAATTTTAAAGTGTTAGAGTAAATGTTTTATGTTGTGTATGCCTTGTTTTACTTACCAGTTAATTAGACTAAATCGTTGGTGTTGCAACCAAATCTGTATTTTCCACTGCCTTTTTAAATGTCATACATTACCCCTTCTGTTTCTCTTAGGCTGAAGCAAAATCGAGATTCATGTCTCATTTTAGCAATGATCAACATTTTAGGTATAGAAAATCCTCTTAGATGTTTTAGAGAATAAAAGATTTGATCCAACACTTTCTTTTTTCTTTCTGATTAACAGACACGGAGCCTGGCCACATCCCTGGTTCTTTCAGCATTCCCTTTCACTCATCCTTGTCCGACTCTGGACATTTCCTGCCTAAGGACAAGCTCCAGGAGCTCTTCATCCGTGCTGGAGTGGACCTCAGCCGTCCCATCTGTGTGTCGTGTGGTTCAGGCGTGACGGCCTGCACTCTGGCTTTAGCAGCCCATGAGTGTGGACATCCGGGTGTGTCCGTGTACGACGGTGCATGGTCCGAGTGGTACACCCGTGCCCTTCCAGAGTATGTCATATCCGAAGGCAGGGGGAAGCATTTGTAATCAACTGAGAAGACACGGTGTGGAACCAGACCAGACGGAGACCAGATTACAATTACAGCATTTTGCACTGGAAGATATAAAGTTACAACCAGGTATCAGTCTGTCATAGAGACATTGAAATAAAGAGTCTTTGTTAGTTTTCTGAGGTATCAAAGAAGGTCTTTCATTGGCTATGAAACACTGGACACCTTCACACCACATTCTGTCTTTGTTCGTTCATCCCCTATCCAAATGTGTCATGTATGTTTTTCACAAAATGTATATGTTAGTAAAAACTAATATATGAAGACTAAACTGTTTATTCAGTTTGTTTACTGTTGGAAAATAAACTACATGTTTACATTTAACCTGTTTTGATGTTAGTTCTTTTGACCTTTGAGCTTGTAGAAAACAAGCAGCATTGATCCAAACTTTAGCCTGCAGCCTTCGCTAAAAAGTGCAACTGACCCACAATATGTTCGTTCTCAGTGATAATTTGCACATATAGAGCTTGTGGAGTGTTTTTTTTCAGTGTAAGGTATTTCCAGTAAGAAATTCATCTGGTGCACATAAGGAAAAAAGTAAACTGCTGAAACTGTCTTTGCACTGTAAAAGCAGAACATCTATAAATCAGTCACAGAAAAATAAACAACTAAAGTAAATAAAGACATAACCTGTATTACATTCTAGATTATACAATCTATGTTGTACATATTTAGGTTTTTGAGTATTTTATTTGTTAGATTATTATTTTACAATTTGTACATTCAGGGTAAAATTATTTCGCAGAATTAAATAAACAAGAAAAAAATGCAACAATTTATTAATCAATGTAATGTACAAAACTCTCAGAAAGTTAATAATCCATCCATCTATTTATTCATCCATCCATCTTCTCCCGATTGGTCCTTGTCAGCTTTACAGGGTGGCCGGTGCCTTTCCCCGGGAAAGAGGCGAGGTACACCCTGGACAGGTCACAGGGCAACACAGAGACACACAAAGACACATAACCATGTATATTCACGCACTCACCTAATTTAGAGAAGCCAACAAACCTAACAGTCATGTTTATGGATTGTGGGAGGAAACTGGAGTACCTGGAGAGAACCCACAGATGCACAGGGAGAACATGCAAAGTCTATGCCGAAATGCCCCGGGTCAAGAATCAAACCCATTCTTGCTGCAAGGCAACAGCACTACCCATTGCGAAACTGTGCAGCCCAAAGATAATTTTGCATATATTTGTGAAATGTGTATAGGACTGAAATGAGGAACATTTTGTACCCATTAATTCTAGGGCTGCAGAATATTAGAAGAATGTCCCAAAATGATATAACCTAGAACTAGAAAAATAAGTAAATAGTGAAAATATAATTTTTGACTTGAGTTTGTAGCAAACTAAACCCAAGAAAATGTTACAAAATATATTGTTGCCATACTTGAGCAATTAGCCTTCATCTGCACAGTCCACTCAGTTTCATAAAATATGCATATCATGTGCAGAGAATTTGCAGCAATACTTCTGAGATACATTATGCAGCTCTTTTTATTCTTTTTTTTGTTAGATTTCCGTCATCACATTGTGTTGTGAGGGAGGATTATATTATCTGATCTGCAGCTTCTTAGGCTGTAGGCTGCTTTTGTCTGAGGAAGGGTGTATCTGCATGATAATACCCTCTGATAATATTTAGCAACTTTTTGGTGGTTTTGAATGACCTATGACAGTCCATTGACTTAAGATCATCCTTATTTTCCTCTCATTTGTTTTTTTAGATCTCCTGACAGAGTTTCTTTGAAGCATTGCCACCCTATGTCACGTCTTGGTTGTAGTTACGAGGACCCAAAATGCAGAGGCAGAGAGGCTGAGGTGAATTCTTGTAGTTTTAATGAAAACACTAATAACAGAGGCAAAATCCAAAAATCCAACTAAAATGTAACTCAGACCAGAACCACAGAGACATCAAGGGAAACACCCACAAGGAGCCAGGGAGAGAGGAGGTGAGTGGACAACGGCGACAACAGGACCAGGACAACCCAGTCTCATGGGAAAATGTACCCCCACTACGTTGGTCCACACTGCAAAACGTAGTGGAGGTACATTAATGGCCATTTTTTTGTGGTACTGTTATGTTTCTTCTACCTATACGCTTTCTATTGTTTTACGTCCTAGTCACGTGACTTTCAAGATTCCAGCTGGGAGAAGAAAAAAATATATATAGATGGCCGACATTCGCTCATTTTTTGTGGAAAGATTAATAACTTGAGTTTGTTTTTGCATTAAAATGAGTTTTGATTACATTTCTAGTGAGAAATGTATAGTTTGTTGCCAGAATATTTACTCAGGGAATGTACATATTCACTTGCTTGTTCGTTTCTTGCAAAGATTTTTCAAGATAATGTGAAACTGTAACATTTTGGTATAAACATGGCTGAGATTTCTCTAACTTTTAGTGGGAAAATCAATAATTTCAATCAGTTTCTGCATTTAAATGGGTTTTGATCACATTTATAGCGAGAAGTGTAGGGTTTATTTACATAATATTTACTTAGTGAACATACATAATCACCCGCTTGCTAGTTTTTGCTACATTTTTCGGATCTCGTCAGGATTATGTGAAATTGCAACGTTTTGGCTGCTACACATCGCCTAGCATTTAGCTGCCGCCCCGATTCAACATTGAATTCTTTGTGATTTAACTCCATCTGATGGATCAAACCCTCGCCACTGCGTGCGTTGCGTCTGAGGTTGATTTTCAGATCAATGCATTACGTCGTGGCATACGGGAGAAACTAATTAAACTAGTTTAAAACAAGGATCATGGGTTAAGATCGGATGTGTTTTATTTGGAAATCTACCGGATCCTTTGTGCATTTCACTTCCTGTTTGGTGCGATCTCATTGATGGGTTTTGACCAGATTTTGACCAAAGAGGAACTAAAAAAAAAAATAAAAAACAATTTAAATACACAACCAGCATATCTGGAATCAATGACAGAGAGCATACATAATCACCCGCTTGCTAGTTTTTGCTGCGGTTTTTCGGATCTCGTCAGGATTATGTGAAATTGCAACGTTTTGGCTGCTACCCATCGCCTAGCATTTAGCTGCCGCCCCGATTCAACATTGAATTCTTTGTGATTTAACTCCATCTGACGGATCAAACCCTCGCCACTGCGTGCGTTGCGTCTGAGGTGGATTTTCAGATCAATGCATTACGTCGTGGCATACGGGAGAAACTAATTAAACTAGTTAAAAAAAGGATCATGGGTTAAGATCGGATGTGTTTTATTTGGAAATCTACCGGATCCTTTGTGCAATTAACTTCCTGTTTGGTGCGATCTCATTGATGGGTTTTGACCAGATTTTGACCAAAGAGGAACTTAAAAAAAAAAAAAAAAAAAAAAAAAAAAAAATTGAATACACAACCAGCATATCTGGAATCAGTGACAGAGAGCGACTGGGACCAGAAGTTTATTAATTTCTCCCCACTGATTTCCATTCAAAATGTTTTCGCTCCCACCGGGCTCTAGGGAAGGGGCGGGCATACCGCCACCTACTGTTCATGAGTGTGTAGCAACATTGTTTTACATCTATTAAATTCTATTTTTTAATTTAGCATTCTGAAGATAAATAAATAATGCTTTCCTTAATCTATAAATATCTTTTATATTTCCTTTATTTCCCAATAATCCTTTAAGACTCCATTCTTGGCCTGTCCTCTTTTCAATTTCTTCCTTTCAGGTTCATATGTTTTGCAGTTCATCAATACATCTGCATTTTCTCCACTCCACTCTCCATTCTCTCCACATCCTTCATATTTATCATTATTTTTCCTCCCTATTAAGTATAAATTGTCATTTAAATAAGTATGACCTACTCTTAATCTGATCATTATTATTTCTTCCCTTCGGTTTCTCTCATTAATATTTCTATTTAATACTGATTTTTGTACTTTATATAACCTTCTTCATTTTTATCTTCATTCCACCTTTTTTTGCCATTTTTCAATTTCTTTCCTCTTAATAAATGATTTTCCTTTCCCTAAAGGAATTGTAATTGTTATTGCCTCCTCTAATTGCTAATTTGTCTACTACTACTACATTTTCCCACTTTGACCTTTTAAGGTTAGCATATTGACCAAAAGCTGTCACCAAAAATAAAGCAATCGATTATTTACAACAATATGCTACATTTAATGAAGACTAATACAGATTTTACTCTCTTATAAGAATTAGTTTCAGGTTTTATAGGGGAGAGTTTGTATCGGCAGTCATCTGGGAATCTTTTATGTATTTACTGGTAAAGAACAACCTCTCAACCCATTTAATGTAAATGTTGCGTCGAACCAGAAAGTTATTTGAAGAGCATAGATGCATAAATATATGCATAGCTTTAACAAGGGCCTCATGAAGGTCTGTTCTGTTATTCTCTTTTGGAGAATATAGACATTGTGGGCATTCATTTCCCTGATAAGCTGGTGAAGATTCTTAGACATCCAGGTCATAATCATTCCAAAAAAAAAAAAAACTTTGGACTTTGTTTTTCAAGTTTGAAGACTTCCCATTCAGGACGTTTTTCAATTCAAAATTACAGTAGCCCAACAAATCCTTGTTTTGGCTAGGAAAATATGCAAATTGAACCTGATGCCTGATCCCAATAGCTTGACTCTGAACCGAATTTGATCCCTATTACTTTTTGGCCACATGCACATTATTGTGCTGCCTGGTCAACCCTATGAAAATGTTCTGGAACTGCCACTGAACTGACACCCAATGCATGGAGGGTAACCCAAAAAGGGCCATTGTTAGAGAAACTGGGTGCCTACAAAGTGCTGTTTTCAAGCTAATTAATGGAAAGTTAGCTGGAATGAAATGTAGACAAATAGCAATTACAATTCCTTTAGGGAAAGGGGAAGGAAAATCATTTATTAAGAGGAAAGAAATTGAAAAATGGCAAAAAAAAAGGTGGAATGAAGATAAAAAGGAAGAAGGTTATATAAAGTACAAAAGTCAGTATTAAATAGAAATATTAATGAGAGAAACCGAAGGGAAGAAATAATAATGATCAGATTAAGAGTAGGTCATACTTATTTAAATGACAATTTATACTTAATAGGGAGGAAAAATAATGATAAATGTGAAGGATGTGGAGAGATAGAAAATGCAGATGTATTGATGAACTGCAAAACATATGAACCTGAAAGGAAGAATTGAAAAGAGTTGAAAGGACAGGCCAAGAATGGAGTCTTAAAGGATTATTGGGAAATAAAGGAAATATAAAAGATATTTATAGATTAAGGAAAGCATTATTTATTT